GTTCGTGACCCGAATTGGTCATGAACAGAAGCGTTCGTGACCCGAGGTACCACTGTATTTTATTTAAAAGCACATTGCTTATCAGCTCCTTGCTTCTCTTAATTGGATGCCACAGCTGAAAAAATGGAAAGAGGTTTTCAGAAAAGTAGTGAGAATATTGAGACTGAGAATCAATAAAAGCAGCCCCATCTGTTTGTTCAGAAACACTGTTCCTTGTATTGTTCCTTGGCTGAGTACCTACTGCTGCCCTTGTCCTCACTTGACCTTAAATCATCTTGGTGCAGTGTTGTGATTGGCTGCTTGGTTGGTTTCTTGGCTGAGGATGGGGGGACTAGCGTGGCATCAGATGCAGTCATAACTGCATAACCAAGGAAGCCTAACTCTCTGATAATACTGCCTGCTTGTCCTATACCACACACTTCAGGTACTCCATAGTAGCAAGGGTTCATTGTGCTGTGTTTAATAAGCGGGTTGGCCAAGCAGGGAATCAGGGATAGAGACCTAATTGCTAGATTAATATTCAGGCTTTTTAATCTGTAATTTCCATATTTAAACGTAGATTGCTATCATAAAATTATAATTAATTCAAAGTGCCTAATACAGAATTATAACTGATGGGGGGGGGGTCCCAGTTAAGAAAATACAGTTGGAGGAATTTACTTTTCAATTTCATCAATTTTTTAAAGAGGTTTTCTTGGCTTGTGTTCCTACTTTTTGGAGGGTGTATTTAAGAGGAAAGGATACATTTGAAAACAAATTTTACCATTGCACAGCAGAGTGAAATAACTTCCTATTCAATTTTGATTTTTTTAAAAGATCCGCCGTTATATTTTAAAACAGGTAGCAGTGAAACTGTTTTCTCTCACCTTTTTCCAGTAGATGGCATACTTGAAAAAGAATTTAAACGTAGGCTGCTTTTACATGCAGGATTTCTAATTCTCAACTGCTCGTTTAACCCTTATTTCCAAACTTTGATTTAGGATTAATTAATTAATTAGGATTAATGCTGTACTTCAGTGATTTGGCTTTTTTAAAGTTTGATAGATAGCTGGAAGAACTGGAAAGCTTATCCATTCACTGTGATCATTTATACTCCTCACTTCTGGTTCATATAAGCTGCCAACTACAGGTGAAACAATAATTAAATACAGTAGTTGCCTTATTTGACAGAGGAAAATATCCATCTAGTCTAGAACTGAGGCTTCAAGGACAATCTACTTAATAAACCCAGGAGTGGCATGTTGGGAATAGCTGTCGTTAATTTTATTATTGCCATTTAGTAATTCAATGCATGATGTTTCTGATCATTACAGGTCTGCCAATATCAAACACTGATCAGAAATAATGCAACAATAAAAGTAATAATTTAGATCCTTGTGTATTTTTGTATTACCCCAAAACATCATAGTAAAAGTAGAAAAAATGAACATTTCCCACAGTAGAGGTGTAACAAGCCTGCTCCAAGTGCGTGCGTGTGTGTGCGTGTGTGTGTACATTATTAGATTGATATCCTACCTTTTGTTGAGGAACTTAGGAGCATCCCAAATGCTCCATCCTCTTAAATTTCCCCACAGCAGCAACCCTGTGAGGTAGATTGGCCTGAGAGACAATGACTAACCCAAAGTCACCCAGTCAGCTTTCATGGCTAAGGGTGGACTTGAACCTGGATCTCCCCGATAGCAGTCAACACCTTAACCACTTCAGCACATACCACACACTCCTCTATTGCCTGGACTCCAACCTGCAATAATATTGCCAAGTAATACTGCAGGACAGTTCCAAACAACTCAGAGTCTGATTTACTGTGTGGTTGTCATAATACATTCTCTTCAAAAAGGCCTCAATCAGCCTACAAATATGTGAACAATACTGTTTTATTTAATCAGGTATTAGTCACATATGTGCAAGCAATCTTGGCTGAAGCTACAAAATAGGATTATTTATAAATGATTTCAAATAATTACTGTTCTACAATTTATCACTGGCAACTTTAAACAGAAAGATTTTATTTTTGTTCATTTAGAATTGGTATGTTCTACTTAACTAACTCCCAAGTCTCTCAGAAAAATGTAGGGTCAGAACTTTTTGCCAAAATAAGAAAGTCAGTAATTGATATTGGTTATCTCACCCTTGTTCCCAGTTCAGCGGCCAAGTAAATTTTAAAAATTAATAGTAATTCCAGGGCTAGCAAAAAGAGAACCCATCCAAGCTATAAATTAAATGGACTGTATTTCCCAAAACTTGGAATAGCAGAGAATACTGGAACACACGAAGCATTAAATATAAAAACTCTAATGAGAGTCAGATAATTCTGACAATGAATACTTTCTGGCTTGTGTGTTGATTTCTGTCAAAATGCAAATCAGCTAAGTTGGTGCTACTATTAAATATCCTTTTTCCTTGCAAAACAGTAAGTTTTTCCTTTCCAATGCAAGCTAGGATTGTGCAATTTTTTTCTCTCTCAGGCTGCCCTGACTCTTCCCCAAAGACCATTTCTTCACTGTTCTACTGTGATTCCAGTTGTGTGCCTGATGTTAAGATTTGCTATGCATCTTCTAAAGCTGAAGGATTCCTGGTGCTTTCTTCCTTGGATGATGTTTATCTCCTGGACTTCGCATCATATTCGAGATGGAATACGTCATGGCCTGTGGATCTGCCCATTTGGAAAGACAGTTCCCCTGCCTTATTGGCTTTATGTGGCAATCACAGCAACTTTACCTCATCTCTGTTCTTTTATTATGTATTTAACTGGAACAAGAGAACTGATGTCAATAAAACATGGGATCCATATTGATGTGTAGGGGTATTGTAGATAACTATAGCCTTGAAAACAATTTTCTCCTCATTACTGAATTAGGTCTAAGTTGATGTTACATAGCCTTATTGAAACAGTATCGATTTCCTGGAGTCACTGCTGCACAAGGTATTGTGACTGGTTCATGGACTATTTATTTGTAACTCATTTTTTAGATTTTGTTGTTGTTACCTGATTTTTGTTACATAGGTGTAAATAGCTGCTGGTCTCAGTCATATTGTTCCTCTTGCCTGTAACAAGTGGCTAAACCCCCTTCTAATTCATGAATTCTGGTTTCAGGAAGCAAACAAAATCGCTTCTCTGACTCAGCATCTGTTTAACATTGGGACTAAAGGGCTTATAGAGGCAGTTACTGTAGACTTCTAGGCAGTAGATACCCTCTGCTCCCATATAAAATTGTCTTGAAAGATGGAAAAAATGGATAAAATGGTGCCTGTTCCAGCATTACTTAGAAGTTCTTCTGTATCTTCTGCTTTAGGTATTTACCGTAGATATCTTCAGCTATATCTGCAGCATTTTGAATATATGAACAACATTGCTGATACAGGTTAATATTATTCAGCACTGTACATTATTTAGAAAAATACAACAGTAGTGATATTGCACTTTATTGAAAATAGAAGGCAAGAAATAGGAAGCTTCGGAGCTAATAAAGCCAGCTCCCTAAAAACTACATTTTGGTAGGGTTGTGCAAAGTATTCAGAAGAGATCCTTTGCCAACATGTAAGTATACAAAATAAGTTTTTTTTAATCATTAAAGCAGCCACATATTTTGCAAGGCTTGCTCATTAAAAGCTATCTCTGCTTGTCTACGTATGTGCATTCACAGACAATACTAACAGTGGGACCACCAGCAAAGTAAAATGGCTGTCCATGCACATGCACACTGAGAATAACCGGGAATAGGTTTCAAAGCAGCTGCACCCATATTGCAAAAGACACGGCTGTCTCAGCTGTTTGAAGAGTGGTGCTTCATTTATGTTCTCATGAATGACATTACATGCAAATTAATACTACCTTTTGAATATTTTGCACTGTCCTCCTTTATGTCTCTAATTTCTTAGGTAGAAGAGAGATGGGGTGGATGAGTAGGATATTATGTAGTAGCAAGCAAAATATTTTTGCCAGTTGAGAGATCTTACTTGTTTAATATTCTTAAAAATTCCCAGAGTCGATTTTTGTGAGATGGGCGGCCATATAAATGTGATTTAATAAATAAATAAATATTCAGAACATTGGAGAGATGTTCTGATTTTGAAATGAAATTATTTCCATTTTGTAAAGAATATAAAAAGGCTAAAACCGAACACAAGCTAGAGCCGCGGTTAAGGCCTATCTTGTGGCAGTAAGAGTGGCGAAACGTCAGTATTTCTCCGCTCTTATTGCATCCGCAGAATGCTGCCCAGCAGCCCTGTTTAGAATCACCTGATCCCTGTTGGGGAGAGGGGGTTCAGAAAACCATCTACAGGGCTGTGCTGAGGAATCTTCTTAGCATCTGCAGGTTAAAGTCGCTTGGATCCATTCTAAGTTGGACACCAAGCGTGAGGCATGGTCTGGTGAGATGCCTGGGGAACATCTTTGCCGAGTTATCTGGGACCAGTTTGATCCT